ATTTGGTTTTGATTGTTTCTAGTCATTTTACATTTTTACATTTTTATTGATTCGTGTTATTACACAAAGTGTTTACACACGTCAGAAAAGAAACATTGATATTTTCAAAATTACAACACAGTTAAAAATACAGATACATACATAATCCTAAAATTAATAAAAATATAAATACAGATTAAAATTGACATTGATTGTAAACAGAATAAATAAAATCAGGTAAAACAATATTAAAAACAAATACAATAGCTCACAAATGATTAAAGTCACTGTCAAAAAACTGCTCAATATCATAAAATGCATTTCTCAAAAGAAATTTTTTTATTCTATTTTTAAATTGATTAAAATTGAGATTCCTTATGTGGATTGGTAGGGCATTATAAAGACGTATTCCTATATATCCCGTACCATTTCTAGTCTTACTTAGTCTTAAATAGTTAGTAGTTAAATTATTCTTTGTTCTAATATTATGAGTGTGCAGCTGATTTCTAGTTGAAAAATTTATTAAGTTTTGTTTGACATATAGTAAGCATTGCAATATATATATACAGGGAACAGTAAGTATATTTAAAGAAATGAAATGCTGTTTACAGTCGCTCCTGTAACTCAAACTTAACATAATTCTAATGGCCCTTCTTTGATGTGCGAACACATCCCTACTAGAGGTAGCATGTCCCCACACAAGAATAGCATAGGATATATTAGAGTGTATAAAACTGTGATATGCTGTTTTCAGAGTACTCAACGATACCCTACCCACAAGATTTCGTAGTAAATACATATATTTAGACATCTTTTTACAGATATAGTTTGTATGTTGTTCCCAAAGCAACTTAGAATCTAGGTAAACTCCAAGGAATTTAACGTGATCCAGTTCTGCGCCGTTATCAAATTCTCGTAAGGTGAATATCATTGTCTCAGTCTTTGTCCTATTCAAAGAAAGTTTATTACTTGTAAACCAATTCTCCACACTTAACTGCACCTGAGGGATGTCTTCCAACAAATTATTCAAGTTTTTATTTTTTATTGATACACTAGTATCATCAGCAAAAAGTACATTTAACATATTCATATTTAAGGAGTTAGTGATGTCATTTATATATATCAGAAACAGAGTTGGTCCCAGTATAGAACCTTGAGGTACGCCATGCTTAATGTTTTTCAAACTAGATTTTATATTATTATGGATTACAAATTGCTGACGATTTGTGAGGTATGATCTCATCAACTCAAGACTATCGTGTGTGAACCCATACAAACTTAATTTGTCGATGAGAATATTATGTGCTACACAATCAAATGCCTTTGTTAAGTCCAAAAACTGAGAGCACACATATTCACCCTTTTCAAAACCCTCGTTTATATATTCAGTCAATTTGTCTATAGCTAAAGTGGTGGACCAGCTATTACGAAAGCCATATTGATGAGGATTAAATAACGAATTACTTTCAAAATAATTTTCAAGTTGACAGTTTAAAAGACATTCAAAAATTTCTGCCTTACCTACGTACTGAAGTTTTTGAATAAAAAATTGTATATTTACTAACCAGATAGCTTTTTGGAAGTTTATACTGGATGTTCCAAAAAATGATCCACTTCAAAATTAGGAGACAGTGAAACTTAACTTATTTTTTTTACCACTTCTGCCTTACCTACGTACCGAGATCTTTGAATAAAAAATTGTATATTTATTAACCAAATCCCTTTTTGGAAGTTTATACTGAATGTAGATGATGGCGATATAGATGTAGATGATGGTGATGTAGATGATAGTGCTGTAAATTATGGTGATGTACATGATGACACTGTAGATGATGGTGGTGTAGATGATGGCGATATAGATTATGATGATGTAGATCATGGCGATGTAGATTATGGTGATGTAGATGATGGCGATGTAGATGTAGATGATGGTAATGTAGATGACGGTGCTGTAGATGATGGTGCTGCAATTATGGTGATGTAGATGATAGCGATGTAGATTATGACGATGTAGATGATGGTGATGTAGATAATAGTGACGTAGATGATGGTGATGTAGATGATAGTGCTGGAGATTATAGTGCTGAAGATTGTGGTGATGTAGATGATGGCGATGTGGATGATAGTGATGTAGATGATGGTGCTGTAGATGATGGTGATGTAGATGATAGTGCTGAAGATTATAGTGCTGAAGATTGTGGTGATGTAGATGATGGCGATGTGGATGATAGTGATGTAGATGATGGTGCTGTAGATGATGGTGATGTAGATGATAGTGCTGGAGATTATGGTGATGGAGATTATGGTGCTGTAGATGATGGCGATGTAGATGATGTAGATGCTGTCGATGTAGATGATAGTTATGTAGTCCATGGCGATGTAGATGTAGATGATGTAGATGATGGTGCTGTAGATAATGGCGATGTAGATGATGGCGATGTAGATGGTGGTGTTGTAGATGATGGCGATGTAGGTTATGGTGATGTAGATCATGATGATGTAGATCATGGCGATGTAGATGATGGTGATGTAGATGATGGTGATGTAGATGATAGCGATGTAGATTATGGTGATGTTGATGATAGCGATATAGTTGATGGTGATGTAGATGTTAGCGATGTAGATGATAGCAATGTAGATGCAGACGATGTAGATGATGGTAATGTAGATGACGGTGATGTAGATTATGGTGCTGCAATTATGGTGATGTAGATGATAGTGCTGAAGATTATAGTGCTAAAGATTATGGTGATGTAGATGATGATGATGTAGATGATGGCGATGTGGATGATAGTGATGTAGAATTATGGTGATACAGATGATGGGGCTGTAGATGATGGTGATGAAAATGATGGCGATGTAGATTATGGCAATGTGGATGAGTGTGTTGATGATTTAAAAAACATTCGCGGAAGAGAATGCTCCGCAAAGCGGAGGTTATGCGGCGATAGCCGAAGGCCCGAGAGAAACGTCAAGTCGGCGAAGCCGACTTGCCTACGTTTCTAGTCAATATATATTAAAATCTGATAGCTCCGTCTGCGTCGCACGATCGGCCCGAAAAAGGGCCGATCTCCCGGACGAAAGGCTCTTTCCTGGGGCCGCGACGTCCTTCCCGCGTTGCGCCATCGTATTTAGAACGCGCTAACTCGACGCCTGCCCCATGAATTTTCCGAATTCCCCAGGTTCTGCGAGGGGCGTGGCCCAATTTTTGTGTGAAAAGCAATAGTCCGACACGCCCTCCCGCTGAAATCTGACGGTCGCCGATCGCCTCGAATCGCGCGCGGGTACGGTTTTTTTATTCTTTATTTCCCCCATTTTCTACGATATTTTATTTAAAACTGTTCCGAAAATACTCATATCCATCGACCGGGTCCCTATTTCACGCTTTTTCCGTGGAACTTTCCGCGAAATCAAATGCAGGATTCGAAATGCGGCCGTAAATACGTTAAAATACACTTCTAGGAAGGCCGAAAAATGTGAATTTTGCCATATAAAATTCCTTCTCCGCGAGCCTCGAAACGGCGTGCGACTTTGTAATGTATTTTTCGCGTTTTTGATATTTAATTTTGCCTTTTTTTTGGGGTCTGCTCGGCGACGGACGGCCGTCTCATAAACCGGAAAGATTTTAAGCATTGGGACACGCCCACCCGGAGAAAATTCGAACGTCGTTAGAAACGTCAGTTCATTATGTCAAAATAATTTCAGGCCAAACTTCAAACGTGTCTGTAGGATAGCGGCGAACCGTTATTTTATCTCACTAGGCCTTTTTTCAATGTTAATGTGTAGCTACGCCCCGATATGTACAGATATTATATTATTGTCACGATATTATTTACATTTTTTCATAACTACCGCTCTACATAAGCTGTCCCCGCATTGATGTAAGTACCCCTAAAATTACCCGTTTCAATTTTGAGGCAAACAGTAAACCCTTTAAAAAACCTTGCAGGTTTATTATTACATTACATTATGCATTTATATTACTCTACTATTGGCATTAGTTGTGATACGTCAAAAAAAACTGGCACTAAAGACTTCCGTGCCGCGAAATATCTTATTTTACTTTTACATTCACGCCATTTCGAGGTACATCTCTTTTAATTACCAGTACAAAGTTGCACCACACACGTACAATAGATTCCCCCGATTTAAAAAAGCAGTCTGAAAATTTCATATATTTTTTTTCAATTTTACAGGTACCTATTCTGGCTTACTTCTTATTAACGAACATTTAAATTATTGCATTCATTTAGTACTATTCGTATACATAAAATTATTCCACTAATGTCAAAATGAAAAGAGTTTGCCGTTTGAATTTTTTCCATCCAATCATATTCATTGCATTTTTAACGACTAGAGCAGTAGGTTTGCTTCCCGGTAATCCCGTTCGACTTGGGTCTCACATCGTCATATTTCTTAATTTATAACCTAACAAGCTACAGTTTTTCGTTACAAATACGGTCTATGCCACCAGGTAAAGAAGAAATACCCCCAGTGCAGATATGAATGCGGGTGCAGTGAAATTTCTAACCTAAAATATCAGCGGGTACAAGTAAACAAGTACAAGTTTTTCGTTATAAATACGCTATAGATGAGCGTATTTGAGTCCATAGTGTGGAATTTTTGTGATTAAAATGCCACCCCACCAGTTAAAATACGAGTGAACTTCGCGAGTGCTTGAAAATAAGTTATTTAATTGTATTAGATATCAGTAACTTCAATAATTAAAAATATAAGTCTGTCTTTCAATAAAGATTATATTGACAATAATCTATTCTTTAACTTTCATTAGTACTTAGGTACCACGAACTTCTTTTATTTTGTAAGTGATGTTTTCAGTAATATATATTTGGGGAAAACAATATGTACCCAAGTAAAAGTTCCAATATATTTCTTAAACATTTCAAATATTATCCACACAACGATTTCTTTTATCTTCGACACTATAAACAATGTATAGGGTGTTTTAGTAATAGTAATATAGTTTCACGATTCATACAATAGGTAAGTTTGTTACATAATTATTTATTGCGGGAACCTTAAAAAAATATATCCAGTCCTTAATTGTTTAGAAATAATACAGATTTTTTTCATTTCTATAACACTAAGGCTAAATTAATAAAAAAAATTCTACTAAAAACATGATATGACATACAAGGTGTTACTTTAGGTTCCCATATTCTTGGCAACCCAATATTTAATACTTACAGGCTGTGGCTTATTTAACTAATTTTTTCTAAAATATTGTCCACAGAATTGTTTCTTTTAACCCTGGGATAGATGTATCTCCACTGCATGTTTATGAAAAAAAATTTAGTTCTATAATCTCAATCGCTCCCTAAAACATAACAACATAATTTTGAAGCAACATGTTTCAAGATATTGCAGACATAAAATATGGATAAAAAAATTTTAAATATATTTTTTTATATTACGTACATTTTGCAAATTTTTTACAATATTTTTTTACAGTACTTAAATACTTAAATGCAGTTATAAACATCAGCAAATAAATGAAAAAAGAATAAATGCGTGAGCAGGGGTGGCGGAGGGTTGATTTGGGGGGTTGAGAAGTTGTGAAAAATTGTATCATTGGAATTTCTGGCTAAAGTTGACGTCGAACAAAAAAGTATTTAATAGAAAGGTTGTAGATCATGTAAAAATCTACAACTTTTGTAGAGGTCACTTTTTAAGATAACCTTAAAATTTCTGAGAAAATTGTGAAAAACGGTTTTTTTCCTTATTTTTAGTTTTTTATTTCTCATTTCCGCAAAAATAACTTAATTTTGACGAAACTTGGTGAAAGTATACCTTTCTGTGTCTTAAATAACTACAAATTTTTTTAGATAAAAAATTCAAGGAGTTTCCGAGATATTTATTTTTTCCGGTCTGAAACTCTTTTTTTTTAAAGAAAAATTCTACTTAGAAAAATCATCGTATAGAGTTCTGCCGGTAATTATTATTTTCGTTTTGACATACACTTTTTGGTGAAATAAAAAAATCTGTAGTCACAGTTCAAAAACAAGCTCAAAATTGCAAAAAAAAATAAAAATGACGCAACAATGAATTTTTCAGTAATTGTTGATAATTTGTTTAAATTTCAAAAAAATTCAAAAACTGATTACACCATTCAATTATACGGAAGAAAAATACAAAAAAAACTGGCTCACCGTTTGACCCAAAACTTTATTTTTGTATAGTGTTGCGATAAACATCTAAGTCGAATAGTGAATAAATAAAATAAATAATATTTTTTTCCCGTAGGATCGATTATTTTTTTTTAATTTTGATGTATTTATAGATATACAGTGTGTCCAAGATAAGGATGGGATAGCATTAGGATCTAGGAAACAGTAAGAGATACGGAGTGGCTCAAATTATAAAAAAGTTGTGTGTTTTTTACACCTAATAATATGCCGTTTAGAAAGTTTTAAAATTCCGGGTAGTTCCGGAGATATCCGGAAAAACCCGAAATTTCGTAAAATCGTTTTAATTTTTTTTTTGGCTTTATTTGAAAACGAATTTTAAAATAAATTGCATATTGCCACTTTCTCCGCTATATCCAATGGCGTCAACATTTTTGCAATCCGACGTTGCGTCTTCAAGGGGTCATCATCAGGTTAATTTTTTTAAATACGTCGCTGTTATTTTTATGACAAAATCTAAAGTCATTTTAAAGGTTATCTTAAAAAGTGACCTCTACAAAAGTTGTACATTTTTGCATGATCTACAACTTTTGTATTGGATAATTTTTTGTTTGATGTCAACTTTCGCCAGAAATCCCAATGATACAATTTTTCACAACTTTTAAACCCCCCAAAGCAACCCTCCGTCACCCCTGCTCACGCATTTATTTTTTTTTTAGGTATATTATAAGCCCCTTTAGCATTTCCTCTTATAAAAGTTTAGATAACAATTTTTTTTTTCTCCAAGTGTAATTTGGTTGGACTATTTTTTTTAAATTCCTAATGATTTATTTTTGTTATCAAATTAATGAGATATTTCAACATACATAGAAAAAATTCCGTTGAAGCTCGAACGGTCGAAAATTTATTGATTCCAATATTTCTTATGAAAAATTTTGTCCTACTAACCGCTTTTTGAAACATTTATGTACTGAATGTTTCATAAAACTGACGCAGGTAGGTTGGGCTTTTCTTTATTCTTTTCACTTCTTTCAACTTATTTAATCAAATCTTTTGATGAAAAGTTATATATTTAGTAACCAGTCACTTTTTTGAAAGTTAAACCATGTCTGCATTATAGGCAAATGAAACTTTTCCTTCCTGTTTTAACTTTTCCTATTTTACTTACAGAAATCTTTTAAGGGAAAACTGTACTTATATTTATTAACCAGACGTCATTTTAAAACTTTAAACTATTGTTCCAAAAAT